TCAAGAGAGGAAATACTATCTCTTTAAGTTTGATTTGCCTAGTAAATGAATCCCTGAAGGGAAAACAGTTGGAAGTAAAGAAAAAGCCTAGTGAGTGTCTTTAGGATTCTGCTTGAGGATTTAGAATGTAAACTGTTACTGAGAAGGATCAGATCTTTGTTTTTGAGTCCGGGGTTGTTGAAGAGATTCCACTATTATTTTGCTTAGAATTTGAGGCCTACCCTCAGAGGACAATGAAACTTAAGCAAATATTTACCTCCTCCCCCACCCTTTCCATGTCCACTGCTGTGGTGTTATTGACCTATGTTAAAACATGGCACTAATAGTCTTAGAACAGAAGATGAAAAATATGTGAAGAGAGAAGTTTTTATTCTTGATGTGTAAATCATGAGTTTATTGGGTGGTTGGTTTAGAGGGAGGCGAGAATGTAAGATCCAGAATTTCAGTGCTTTGTTGGCTCTGTATACCAAATATATTGCAGTTTTATGTGCAATACCTAATTAAATATCATTACTAGTACTAAACTAATACTAATTGCATAGCTATTACACCTAGTTAAATGAACAAACCAAGGAAACACGTAGTAGTAAGTCAAGAGCAAAGTCTTAGATCCAGGATTCTGATTCATATAAATGCCAAATTCAGAGATCAAAATAAAAGATTTAAGAGAAATTTACTCTTAAATTATCTATCCACCCCAGCCACTCTGTAATTATGAAAACATTCTTATCTAGGTAAATGAGACAGGAATAAATGGGTACTTTCAATTTGTAATTTTGCACAGATAATATAGCTTTGCAACATAGATTGGCTTAGGGAAGTGGGTGGCTAGCTTTTTATGAAGTGATATGTATGCATACTGATTTTTCTCTTTGGGCTATAATAGGATTTTCGGGATGCTGTGGCCCATGCTTCCAAGCAACTTGGGAAGCCAGTGATTGATGACCGAACCCTAAACCAGATCCTGTACTACTTACCTCAGCTCTATGAACTCAACCGGGATCTCCTAAAGGAACTGGAGGAAAGAATGTTGAACTGGTAAAAGTGAACTGAGTCCATGCTCTCCAGTGCTTAGAACTTCAGATGAAACTATGGAGGCCCCACCTGGAAGAGGGAGTTGGTGTTCCTTATACTGAGTTCTTTCAATATATGAATTTTCTTGGCAATGACCTATAGATTGAATATTTTCTATGGTCAGACACACTGAATTTAAATACATATCTTTATTTATTTATTTTATTTAATGTGTATGCATGTATTGCCTGCATGTAGGTAAATGCACCCATGCCGTGAAATGCCCGTGGAGGACAGAAGAGGCTGTCATATCCCCTGGAACTGGAGTTACTGACAGTTGTTAGCTGCCATGTGGGTGCTGGGATTCAAATCCGGGTCTTCTGCAAGAACAGTCAGCGTTTTTAACCACTGAGCCATCTCTCCAGCCCCTAAATACATATCATTTTAAAAATTGTTTAGTGTTTGCTCAGCCCCATGATCTGTTTGTTTTTTTGAGACATGGTTTTACTTCCTGATACAGCCCAGGCTGTAATTTTTTAAAGTTATAGTAGGAATAAAGTATAATTATCCAAATAATTCCTATATATTTTATCTTTTACTCCTCATAAGATTTTATTTTAGTATTAATCTGAACTGGCTTTAAAAGATAGGCATATTTATATAAGCAAGTGATATAAAAAGACTTGAATATGTCTTTTGTTTTCTATAATATTGTTTTTGCAAATACTAGATGCTTCCTTAGATTTTAGATTTGTAGAAGATATTAAGCATTCCTAAGAACCAGACTAAATTAATGAAAGAGACAGCTAACACAAGTCTTTGGATAATGTTTTTTTCTATTTTTTTTTACTCATTTGTTTTTATTTATTTGCATGTATTATGAATGTTATACCTGCATGTGTGTAAGTACATACACCTGTATCCTGCAGTGCCCACAGAGGACAGAAGAGGGCATCAGATTCCCTGGAACTGGAGTTACAGGTAGTTGTTAGCCACCATGTGGGAGCTAGGATTAGAACCTGGGTCCTCTGCAAGAACATCTAGTGCTCTTAACTGCTGAGCCATCTCTCCAGCCCCTGGATAATGTTTTTTGGTTTTTTTTGTTGTTGTTGTCGTTGTTCTTTGAGACGGGTCTCACTACATAGCCCTGGCTGGCCTTGAACTCACAGAGATCTTCATGCTTCTGCTTCTGCCTCCCAAGTGCTGGGGTTAAAGGTGTGCACACCAAACTTGGCTGGATGAGGTATTTTCTATTATTTTTTTCCCCCACTGCACCTGATTGAGCAGGCTTGTAATCCCAGATACTTAGGAGGCTGAGGAAAGAGAATCACAAGTTCAAGGACAGCCTGGGCAACATAATGAGTCTCTGTCTCAAAATAAAAAGTAAAATAACAGGCTGGCAAGATGGTTTAGTGGATAAAGACTGTTGCCAGCAAACCAGATGACTTGAGTTCAATTCACATGGTAAAAGGAGAGAACTGACTCCTATAAATTTTCCTCTGATCTCTACACAGATACCCCCAAATAAATGAATAAATAAATAAATTAAATAAATAAATAAATAAATAAATAAGAATTTGGAGTAAAAAGAGCTAGGAATTTACGTTTATGACTTGTCTAGCATGCAAGAAACCTTGGATTCAAATATTTATTTGTATTAGGCCATTTAGAGCCCCAAATATTCTATACGGGGCTCACTATGTTCATGTTTGTTTTTAACAAGGCTAGTTTAGGAGCTCACATTGTTATAGAAATTATAGAGTTTTCAGGGCTAGAGAGATGGCTCAGTGGTTAAGAACACTGACTGTTCTTGCAGAAGACCCAGGTTTGAATCCCAGCACCTACATGGCATCTAACAACTGTCCATAACTCCAGTTCCAGAAGATCTAACAGCCTCTTCTGTCTTCTGCAGGCATTGCACAACACAGGTACACTTACCTACATGCAGGCAATACACGCATACCCATAAAATAAAAATAATAAAATATTTTTAAAAAATTACAGAGTTTTCAATTCTAGGACCAGGTAAAGACAGAGCAGTCTTTAGCTATAAACTGAATGTTGAATGTCTGGGTTAGGACCATTTCTTGGTGATACTGAGGTGATACTGAGGTGGTATACTACATTTCTTTGCTTGGGAAACTTGGAAGCCGAGGGTACCCTGGTGGCCTAGAAAGCTGTGCACCTTACTGCAATGTGCTACACCTCTGCTCTGCTATCATGCAGAACATGCTTAGCCAGTTAATGGTTCTTCTCCGTGGTCTCGAGGCCACAGATCATGTTCTGCTGCATAACTAAGGACATGGTCTGAGGCCACTGATTCTTCTAGATCCATCCACTGCCTGCTGGGAAAACAATTTTGGTGGGGGAAAGCCATGAGAAACAAGGTGCCTCCTGCCATGCTCAGGGAATCTGCCCGCATCTTTCCACCCCACATGATAGTGACAGCATATCTGCCCCACAATCATCTGAGTTTTTGAAATAACATTTTTCCATTGCCTTTTTTCTCCTTTTAAATGATGTCACACTTTGTAGCTCAGCTTATTCTAGCCTGAAATTCACTAGTTCTAGGCTGATCTCGAACTCATGGCAGTCCTACCTCAGCCTCCCAAGAGGTGGGATTACAATGTGAGCCACCACATCTAGCAAGTATTCATTTTGGGAGCAGGGGATTAAATATTTACTGTGCTAATTGGTAATTACATAGAGAGGATATCAAAGTACATAGAATAGACAGGTCTTGCTTTCCGGGAGCAAACATTTTATTGGGGGAAGGACCAGATAAATAAATAAGAAACATCAGAAACAAATTTTGATCTGAAATTGATAAGATACTAAGGTGCTGAGTAAAGATTTGATGTTGAAAGAAAGCTCTAAGAAAGTGGAACATGGGCTGGAAATTATATATATAAAACTCAGTATTAGAGTGCTTGCCTAACATGTAAGACCCTAAGTTCAATCACACAAACACACACACATTGGAGCTTGTACCCCTGGAATGGAGGAACTCCAAGGGTTCCATATTTCCAGGGATGTGGAAACATTAGTAAAAGGCTGCAAAGTAGGATTGAAATCTGGTATCATCAAAGAATGTAAAGAAGAGTTGGAGAACAGTAGGAAAAGGGAAGAGAAGCATGGCATGAATCAGATAGGAGCAGTAGTCCTTGTGTGCCTTTGTATGCCAAGGTATGAAATTTCTTTTTATCTTAAGTGCACTAGAAGGCCTTTGGAGCTGGGTATATTCAAGTAGGAGCAATCAAGGCCAGTCTGGATACCTTAATGAGTTTGTCTCAGTAAAGAAAAAGAAGGCAACTGGGAGTCAGCACCATATTTTTTAGACTCTAGCTGCACTGAGGAATGGGATAGAAGGGGCATGGATGGAAGCAGGGAGGCCAATCAGAGAACTGGCAAGGTCAGGACAAGATGTGTTCTTGGACAGAACCAGTGGTGAAGAGCAGGCATCCCTCAATGTCTTTGAAGAGAAAAGAACGACAAGAATGACAAGCTGATGGTGTAGATACGTCTTGGACACATTAATGACTCTTTTATGTTTTTGTATATCCTCTATCCATAGGACTGAACAACAAAGAATTGCTGATATCTTTGTAAAGAAGGGACCATATTTAAAAATGTATTCCACATACATCAAAGAATTTGATAAGAATATAGCTTTGCTGGATGAGCAGTGCAAGAAAAATCCAGGTTTTGCTGCTGTTGTTAGAGAATTTGAGGTATTTGCCACCATTTAATGTTGACCATTTTTGTCTTACATTTTTATAAGCCTTAATAATCATTTTAGTCATTGAAAACAAAGCGTGCAAACAAAAGTATATTAAAATATAATCCCTTCTAAACCAAAGAGGGAACTAATCAAACAAAACAGTGAAAAAACTCAAATAGTACAAGACTCAATTCTGAAAATCTGTTACTGCACATTGGACTGTTTTGACTTGAAAATATAATATTTTGATGAGAGTGAGTTAGTAACAATGTCTCACTCCATAACAAGGCTGTCATCAAACTCCTGGCATTCAAGTCTCATCAGCTAGTTGTGTTGGCTCATGCCTATAATTGTAGCACTTGGGAAGCTGAGACATGAAGATCAGGCATTCAAGGCTATCCTTAGCTACATAGTGAATTTGAAGCCAACCTGGGCTATATGAGTCCTTGACTCAACAAAACAAAGGCCAAGAAGATAACTTAGAAGGTAAAGGCTCCTTCTGCCAGGCCTGATGACTTGACTTTAATCCTCAGGATCCACAAGTGAAGGGGGAGAACTGACTCCCAAGTTGTCCTCCGACCTCTACATGTATGCTGTGGCATTTGTGTACATGCAAAAATAAATAAATAAATTAATTAATTAATAAATAAATAAAGTATAACAAAAAAAGGTCTTTAAAACCCCTGTGGTAAAATATACATATCACAGACTTACTATCTTAGCCATTTAAAAAAAATTATTACTTTAATTTTTTATGTGTATGAGTGTATAGCCTGCATGTGTGTAAATGCACTCATTTTGTACAGTGCCCATAGAGGTCAAAAGAGAGTGTCAGAACTGGAGCTATGGACAATTGTTAGCCACTCTGTGAGTGCTGGGAACCAAACCCAGGTCCTCTGTGAGAGCAACCAGTGCTTTTAACCACTGAGCCATCTCTCCAGCCCCAATATCTTAGCCATTTTAGCATACAATTCTGTAGTGTGAAGTACGTGGACAGTGTTATGCAACCACACTTCTGAAACTTGCTCAGTCTTGCAAATTGAAATTCCATGGCCATGAAACATTAACTTGCCCTTCTCTCCCTGGCAATCTCCATTCTGCCTGTTGTTCTGATTAATTTGATTATTTTAGGAAACATTGCTTATTTTTAACTTAACCTTTCCTGTCATTTGCCTGACAACTTACCTACAGTAATAGAAGAGAACATAATTTATATTTTCTTTTAGATAAATAACACAGTATAATGTCAATTAAGGGAAAAAAGTCACTGTTTCATATGTCAGATAAAGCTTTGTGTTTTGATTGAAATTTCTGAGGTATACAAGCTTGATGGGGGATAAAATCATATTGTACATTGTTACCTGGGCTTATTTCAAGCCTGATAGATAGTCAAGGCTGAACCTGAACCTTGGTATACCTGCCTCTACCTTGCAAGAACTGATATTGCATGTTTAAAAAAAATTAGTTTACTTCTACTTCATCAGTTTGAGTTACCATATTTTAGTATTTATTTCTCTGTTTTGAAACTAAAACAGTCAGTAAATTCTAGTCACATAAAACTAGAAATGAAATTTTCAAAAATATTATTTGTAGTATTGCTGATTTTTTTATTTATTTTTATTTTATGAATATGAGTTTCTACCTGCACCCATTTAGGCAGTACCCATGGAGACCAGAAGAGGATGTCAAATCCCCTGGAACCAGAGCTACAGACAGTTGTTAGCCACCATGTGGGTGCTGGGAACCCAACTCCTGTCCTCTGCAAGTGTAGCAAGTGCTCTTAACTGCTGAGCCATCTCTCTAGCCCAGTATTGCTGATTTTTAATTTTGTACAAATTCATACAAAAGACAAATAATTGGACTTTAAAATCATTTGTAGTCTTTTCTTTTCCTCTCTATTACTGTCTTAATGTTATTTTTAAAAAGTAGTACTACTAGGTATCATGGCACATGTTGAAAATCCTCTCAGAAGGCTGAGGCAAGAAGATGGAGAGTTCAAGGCCAGCCTGAGGCACATAGACCTATCTCAAAAGAGATGCAAGAACATACTCCCCTGCTCATTTTGATCCTGCTACACAGTGAACTCTTGGGCTAGAGAATGGGGTGAAGCTCGGGGATGGGCAGATATCTGCTCTACACACTAAGGAACACAGTTTTGTTTTGTTTGTTTTTTTTACGTGTATGCGTGTATTGCCTGCATGTAGATAAGTGCACCCGTGCCATGCAATGCCCACAGAGGACAGAAGAGGCTGTCGGATGCCCTGGAACTGGAGTTACAGACAGTTGTTAGCTGCCACAATGAGTGCTGGGATGCGAACCCGGGTCTTCTGCAAGAACAGTCAGTGTTCTTAACCGTTGAGCCATCTCTCCAGCCCCAGGAAAACAGTTTTAAAGATAGAATCAAATGCCTTTATGGTTAGGGCAGAATGTTCCAGAGCTCATGAGATAGCTCAATAGAAGTGCATGTGCTTGGCATTTTCTAGAATCTATCCCCAGCACCCCGTACCCCCCAAAAGAAAAATATTACAGAGTCAAGTGTTCCTATATACACTCTGATTTGGCTGTTTTTCATAGGACTATTCATTGATAAAGATTTTTGCATCCTTCAGTCTTCTAAGAGAAGGGATTAACTTAGCAAGATTGTTCTTATCTTTAGTTTCTGCAAATCTCGCCACTACCCAGTTGTTATGATGAATATATTCCCACATGGCTCTGATTATTGTTGGAGTCCAACTCCCAGTAGTTTCTTATCTGCTTCCTTATTTTGGGGATCATGCATTCTCTTGATTCCTTGGGGTTTGTAGTTAGGACTGTGCTGGCAGATGCCCCTCTGAGTAGAAGCTGTCCAGTATGAAATGTATCTGTGGGCACTATGCTCTGCGAGAGGCTTGTGAATCAGTGCTCCTTGAGAGCAGGTGGCTTCAGAGACCTACTGGAGAGGCCAGCTTGCCTTGCCACATAACAGTTGCGCCTTACGGAAGGAAGCATCTCTAAGAATCCCTTCCAGAGTTGCTGGCTGTTTAAAGTTTGGCTTGAACTTGGATGCTTGAACCTGGATTCCTTGCTTCTGGGGAAAAAAAAAAAAAAAAAAGCTGGGTTTATTTTAAATACATTTTTTTTTTCTTTTAGATGAGCCCTCGCTGTGCCAGCCTGGCCCTGAAGCACTATCTGCTGAAGCCAGTCCAGAGGATCCCTCAGTACCAGCTTTTGTTGACAGGTAGGGTCTCCAGTACAGTACCAGCCAATTGACCCCATCTGCTCTGCCATTCCTAAGCATTTTTCTTCTGTCACTCTAATAACCACTCTGCCTAGTACATGGATTACATCATCTGAACTGCTTGTAGTTCTTTGATCATCCAGCATCGTATTTACCTCTGGGCATTCATGTAGGTAATGCCTTTTCTTCTGAACATCTTTCACCACCTCAACCCACATCCTTGTGTCATTTTACATGATTATTAATCCCAAGAAGGTCTTTTCTCAATTGCTCAGGGCTCTAGAGAATCTCTCCCATATATTTGCTTAACACTATCATGGCTCTAGCTACTGTCCTCACAGGGTTGCAGTAAGAATCGATTAATGAGCTAATGTGCATAGTCCTTAGAATAGTTCTTTTGACATGGTAAACTCTAAATGTTAACTGCTCATAGTAGTGGTAGGAATAACATTACCATTTTTACTTTGGTACCTTGGCCATCATTTGCAGGATTTTAGACCTCTGTCTAGTTTACAAGAGAATAAAAGCTATGATTTAGATGAAGGCAATGATATATTCTGGTACTTTTGTTCCCTGACTCTATAAACTCCCCATAGCTGTGCAAATAATACAGTATCATTTTTGTAGATGAAATAACGTGCTTATAAAGATTAAGTGGTTTGACATCACAGAAAAAGCTAATATACATCATCTTATCCAAGCATACTATCTAGCACATACTGCTAAATCCTCTGAAATATTTGCTGAAATTTATTGAGTGCTCAGCGCCATAATTAGGTCACATGCTTCTGCACACACACATACACATATGCATTAAACTTTGTATCAAAATGGATGTAAACAGTGAAATGCTACCACAGTTCATTAGTGGTTTTTTTGTCATTTAGTGTAAATAAATTTTGAGATACTTTGTTCTAGCTATTGTCCTTGAAAAGTGATGTTCAGCCAGGCATGGTGGCACACGCCTGTAGTCCCAGCACTTGGGAGGCAGAGGCAGGCGGATCTCTGTGAGTTCAAGGCCAGCCTGGTCTACATAGTGAGTTCCAGGACACCTGGGGTTACAGGGAGACCCTGCTTCAAAAAGACCAAATAAATAAATAAATAATAAATAAATAAATAAATAGTGATGTTCATGCTGTCTCCTTAATCAGTTTCTCTTAAACCAAGATGGATAAAGGAGGAAGTAAGTGAATCATGGAAAAGCAGGATTTCCCCCATTTCCCTTGTCAACAGAGGCCTCAGGCCTTCCCAGCTTGCTTAGTGACAGACTACAACAGAGAAGGCTTTCTTTCAGCCCTAGGACCTGCTACCTGAAGTGTGTCAAGGCTTAGTTTGAATTTTATCTGTCAGTTAGGTAATGGATTTGCCTCTGGAATAATAGAAAGCAAAGCAAATAATTTGAGGGGATCCTGCCCATATGCAGTGCCTCGTCTGCTTTGGGCCAAGATCATGAATTCACAGGACAGGAGCAAGCACTGATACACGTATAGTGTTTTTGCTGGATAAATCCGATGCTTTGTCATAAACTAGCTATTGAAGAGCATAGGCTATTTCCACAGCTGGAGAGTAAGTAGTTTTTAGTGGTAATAGACATCTGTGACTTCAGATGTGAGAAGGATCAGGACACTGAAAATGTGATGTAAATAATAGCTTTTTCCCACACAGTGGTACTCTGCATAGTAAAAAGTTGCCTATGTTTAACTTAGATTGCTTGCTAAGTTGTTTTGGGTAGAGAAATGAGAAAGCAAGTCTTTAAAGCTGTGTGTGTTGGGGAGGTATTTTTCTTTTTTCCGAAAGACACAGTTTGTGTAGCCAGGCTTGACTTCAAACTACCTAGTCTCTTGCCTCAGCCTCTCCAGTGCTATGTTTATAGGCATGCATCACCATACCTGGCTTTTTAATTTTCTTTTTATTTACATTTGTTTACTCATTTATTGTGGTAAGGTATGTGCATACAGTATTACATACAACTCCATTCTCTCCTTGCACCACTTAGGTCCTGGGAATTGGACTCAAGTTATCAGTCCTGGTGACAGGCACCTTTATCCACTGAGCCATCTCACTAGCCCATGCCTGGTTTTTTGAAAACTGTTTTTAAGAAAACAGATTTGGGGTTGGGGATGTAGCTCAGTTGGTAGAGTACTTGCCTTGTATGCATGAAGTCCTTGGTTCAGTCCCCCAACACTGCATACAAACTGGGCATGGTGGCACATGTTTGTAATCAAAACAGATTTTATTTGCCTTATAATACCAATATCCTGTGAGCTTGGTCTTTACTTTTAGGTTTGTTTTTGGTTTGTGGGTTTTCATACTTTGATCTTGCTTTTGTTTGAGTCAAGGTCTTGCCATGTAGTCCTGACTGGCCTGGATTAAGCAGCCCAGATTAGCTTCAAAGTCATGTAATCCTCCTACCTCAGCTTAAAAGTTCTGGAATTGTAGGCAGATTTATTTTCAGATTTGATCTACCTCTAGTTTAAGATTAAACCAGTTTCCCATACATCCATTATTTAATTGATGCACAATACCATGCATATAGATCCTCAGTAGTTGTGGATTCATTGAGCGGCAAAGATGATAGATGGTTTCATAGTTACTTTTCTGTTGCAGTGATGAGACACCATGTCCATGGCAACTTATAGAAGGAAGAGTTTATTTGAGCTATGATTCCAGAGGAATTAAAGTCTGTCTTGGTGGGTAGGCAGGGTGACAAGAGATGGCCGGAGCAAAAGCAGAGCACTTAACGTCTTCAAGTAGGCACAGGAGGCAGAGAGCAACTGGAAATCCCTCAAGGCTTAAGAACGCTCTACTTAAGAACTCTCTAAGTCCACCACTAGTGACATGCTTCCTCCTGTAAGGCCACACTTAAGAACTCTCTAAGTCCACCACTAGTGACATGCTTCCTCCTACAAGGCCACACTTTCTAAGACCTCCCAAAACAGCGCCACCAACTGGGGCCAAAAATGTCCAAATACTTGGAGCCTATGGGGGACATTCTCATTCAAACCACCGCAGATGATTTGTTTGAGGTCACAGTCAGACTAAAGGAGGTAGCAAGACAACATTCTTTTTCCTCTGCCTTTTCTTGATTCGAACTCTTCTCTTCTATACCTGACCTGAAGTCCTCCATTCTCTTTAAAATCATCTCTGATTTCTTCCATCTCTTTGACCCTTAGTTGTCAGTGCCTTGTAATACGTAAGTTACACAATCTGAAATATTGATTTCTTAATTTGATTATAAACTTTTTAAGGATAGGAGTATATTTTATGTCTATAATTTAGTGTATTCCCCTCAAGGGAAAGAAAATTAGATAAGTTTTACATACTGTGAAACTATTCAGGGAATAATCTTGATTGGTTTTAAACTGGGTTTAAATTATCTATTAGTTAAAAGTTTTAAAATTTCAAAGATGTGAAGTGCATTAGAGAGGCTGTCTTCTCCTTAAAAGGAAAGCTCTGCTAGAAGGTGGAATGTCCTTCCCGAACCTATACAAATCATATTAGTTGAGGCACTTAAAAGTACTGTGATCCCGGGGCTGGAGAGATGGCTCAGCAGTTAAGAGCACTGACTGCTCTTGCAGAGGACCCGGGTTCAATTCCCAGCACCACATGGTGGCTATGAACCCTTTGTAACTCCAGTTCCAGGGGAATCCGACGCCCTCTTCTGACCTCTGTGGCATTGCACGACACGGGTGCACTCACATACATGCAGGCAATACACTCATACACATAAAATAAAAATAATAAAATCCCCCTGGAACTAGAGTTAAGGACAGTTCGTAGCCACCATCTGGGTGCTGGAAATCGAACCCGGATCTTCTGCAAGAGTAGTCAGTGCTCTTAACCACTGAGCCATCTCTCCAGCCCCTAATAAATAAAATATATTTTTTAAAAATTACTGTGATCCAGAGAGAAACAGGGATGAATACTAAGATTTTTATTTATTTATTTTTATTTTATGTGTATGCATGTATTGCCTGCATGTAGGTAAGTGCACCCATGTCATGCAATGCCCGCAGAAGATAGAAGAGGCTGTCAGATCCCCTGGAACTGGAGTTATAGACAGTTGTTAGCTGCCATGTGGGTTCTGTTCTTTGCAAGAACAGTCAGTGTTCTTAACCGCTGAGCCATCTCTCCAGCCCCCTAAGATTTTTTTTTTTTTTTAAGCAGGGTCTCACTGTGTAGCCCTGGCTTACCTAGAACCCAGTGTGAAGACCAGGCTGGCTTCAAACTCAAGAGATCTGCCTGCCTCTGCCTCTGCTGAAACTAAAGGCATGTACCACCACACTCGGCCCTCCAGTGCTTATTTTTATGATCTGATTATTCCCAACTGTAAGAGTATTTTCTAATGCTGTTCCCAAAACTTCCTGTCTGTGTGCTTGGGTTTTTAGCTTTTTGGATGGATGGGTGGGCTGGTTAGCTGTCTCTTTTATTTTATGTTTTTTTTTTCTGAGTCAAGATCTCATATAACACAGACTGGCTTCAAACTCTGTAGCTAAGCCAGGCCTCAAATTCCTTATCTTCTTGCTTCCTCATTTAGAGTTTTAGAAGTTCAATGTTAAGCCTTAAGTTTGCATTAATTATATTAATTAACTTGGGCCCCATGTTTGGTAAAGCAAGCTCAAATGATTTAATCCTCTCACTAACCTTTCAAGTAAGTACTTTTTTTCCATTATAGAATTTGAAGTAATTCCAAATAACAAAATGTACAGGAGTAGAAAGGAAGAGTGAGCCTTTATTTGAATCAACTCCTGATGTCAATTTATTATATAGGTTTTTTTCAGAGCAGGGGAAGGATTCCTGCCTGACACAGTATAAGTACATTTGTACCTGCCTTGGTTTCTTGACAGGGGAAGTTTGAGAAATGCATAGATGAGGGATTGATGAGACAGGATATTTTCTTTTAGAATCTTTTTTAGAGAAAAGTGAGTGGAAATCCCCAGAAGCAGCAGTCTTTGCTACTGTTTGATCAACTATCCTGTTTTTCCTGCAGGGTTTTTTTT